AAGTAAAGGTCAAAACAGACATGTCAGCAATCAGAGTCCGAGTAGGTGAAACGTTTTTCTGTTTCAGTCGGACACAAAGACATCTGGTGATCATTCTGAAAATGTCCTGCTGGGACTTTTATTTAGAAATGTTTTCATCCCAAACGCCAATGGGTACAAGGAAATGACAAGGCTGTGAATCACCATGGCAACAGTGTTAATTCCCAAATACCCACCGTACCCAGATACACGACAGCGGGTCTGAAAGCGCTTCATTTCCTGTCGTCAACAGTCTGTTTTATGGAATATAAGGCCGCCAATGTTTCTCTCCCTCTCGAACATCCCGGTGTTTTGTTTTCCTCCAGTCCACGTAAAGTTCTCCTGGAAGTGTTTCTCCGTCTCGCACCTCGCTCGTTTCGTTTGTACAGAAACACACACAAAAATAAACGGGCTAAATTACAAACAACACGTGGCGAAAAAGTCCGTACATACATCAAGGTTCAACCTTCTCGGCCAGTTTGAAGTTCCTTCAAAATGGCGAGACTCTCTTCGGGAACTGACCGGTGCAGTCGCTCACCTCGCCACGCTGCTCGTTTTAACAGAGTCCTTCATCCCATCACAAGAATGAAGTAACAGGAGAGCTATGGACACGTGCATGAGTCTCTTCCCACCCCATCCCCCTCCTCTTTTATCAACTTTTCTTTTTCTTTTGCTGTAAATTCATTGTGAGGGTCATGTGACGGGGCTGATGATGGAAGATGATGTGCTGGAGCTGCAGACGGCGGGGCTAGAGGCCTATAGACTGAAGGGTTTGTCTCTCGGCTTGGTTGAGGTGGCCTGAGAACATGCTGTAGCACGGCTGCTGGGCGAACTGTGTCAGGAAGTCTGTAAGGTAAGCCTGAAGAGGAGACAGAGGATACAGTGGAGGTCAAATCAGTGTAATCAGCTGGTAACTCCTGTGGGGAAAACAACTTAAACATTTCTTCAGCTTCAGCTCAAACATTCAGTTGGATTCGAGGATAAAGCGATCAGATTTTGGTGTTTTGACTTTACACCCGCGATTCAACGCACGAATGGTTCTGGCCGGTCTTTGTACCCACCTAAAAATAAATGGACGGTTTGTATTTAAGGATTCAGAAGATGGTCTCAGAGCTGTCACAGCGACTCTTTGTACAACCCAAACCTTGAACTTATCGTAATCACTGACAGGAAAAGCAGCACATTAGCATATTTTAAAAAGCCGAACCAATAACGTACTTTTTCATGGAATTCAGTTTTAGTCGGCACTCACAGGGCTTATCAGCCTTATCTCAATTTACCCCGTTTACAGCAGCAGTTCAACACGAACCAGCCGGTAAACACCGTTGTTCCGACACATTATTAATGGCTCGGTTCCTCAACAGTACACAACTCGACCCGATGCCATACATCCTGAAAAAAGCTCGTTTACCAGCAGATGAAAGTGCAAATTGCGTGTCTCGTCTCCAACATTAATCCAGCAGGCCTGACGCCATTTTATCCTAAAGCTCTGTTATAATTAGAGCGTCTTCTCATCTGATTTGACATTCTAGGGCAGAAAACGCTGGTCAACTTGCAGCAATGACCTCGGCCACTCTTAAGGGCTGCAGCCTCCCGGGGAGCTTATATATGAACATAATGTATTACAGTATGTCTGCTGGCATAATGGGTACAACCCAGTACTAGCAAGGTGACCTAATAAAGTGGCTGTTAAGTGCATAATACAGTCAATACATATTTCCCTTGTTAATACTTTGAATAGCTCACTATTGATACTCAAGATGGCAGTATAAGCTGCAAACACGTGAGCAGAATATCTACACGGGTTGAACGATGGGTAACAGAAAGGTAGTTAGTGAGGAGGTTTACTTATGTGCAACTGCTAAAAATCTATACATACACAGATATACTGTTGGCATCGCTAAAGTAGATTTCAGCTACGGCCAAAAGAAAAGTACAGCGCTGTAAATAGTAGGGGTGCAACGATACACAAAATTCACGGTTCGGTTCAATACTTTGGTGTCACGGTTTGATATTTTTTCAATACAAAAAACTGTTCATGCCTTTTTAATTTGTCATTTATTAAAATTATAAATATATATTTTAACTCAAAAGTACAGTTTTTAA